ATTAATAAAAAATAAAAATAAAAGATAAAGACTCAGCCAAAACCACCTAGTTAAGCCACTCATATGTTGTTTTGAGTTGCTACATTTGGGAGTAATTTGTTATGCAGCAATAAATAATATATGTCACTATTCTTACTTTTGGTAAAGAGTTTGAGTGTGCATTTACGTTTATTGCTCAGTGTATTGGTTTGTGAAACCATAATGAAGAATTAATTCAAACAAGCATAGTACTGAACTTTCAGAATCCCTTTGCAGGGATTATCATAATAATGCTAACCCTGAAAGCTTTGCTACCTAGAAATATAAGACCAATACATATATAAAAATAAAACACAAATGCCGAAGGAATTCTGCTTTCTCCTTACAACTCATCTAGCTTAGTAAACAAGATGTGAACGTATATAAAAGTCTGGGATTTAGAGTGAGAAACAAAAGGAAATGATATATTTTCTTCAGCTTGTCTGTCCAAATTCTGTCTCCACCACAAATTCTATGTTGCTTTGATGGTGAAAGGAAAAGCAGAAAAGAGATTTTTAAAAGAAGAAGGAAAAAAATGTTTCTAGGTGGAATAAAAGTACAGATCTCCCAATCCAGTCCCCACAGAAGTTTCTCCCATGACATTCCTGACATACCGTACTATGACTCCTTTCATTTCCATTGCTGGAGAAGTGGTCAGTTTTTTCAAGCATGCTAAAATTTAGAAATGTCAGTGAGTAGATTCTCAGTAGGTTAGAATCTCCCTTTACCCTTGGACGTACTTCTGCATCAGGATCAAACAAAACAAATCTGTAAATCCTTCCAATTTTGGAACAGTTAACATGTCATCTTTTATGTCTAGCGGAAATTTGTAAAGAGGACACATCGTAAGAGGGAGAGCAGAATTCAAGAGTTATAAAGGTGTGTAGGCATTTTGATGTGCAGGATAGGACTAAGAGCTGAGGATTGAAATTCATGGCTTTAGGCTACATGTCCTGTCTTTTGTTCCCAGGTCTCAACCCAAATTACACATATACACCCAACATTAGATTATGAAAAGGATGTAGTCTCTTATTCTATACTGTTTTGCTAGAGACTCGTATATTATAGGTATGTGAGAGTAATACATTTTGATAGGAGACTAACTTCTTAAATCTATAAACAACTCTATGTCCAGGCTCTTACAGCTGATTACGAGCAACTTATGTGCTTTAATTATGTCATTACAATGAAAATGGTTGAATTAAAAAAGGTCTTTTCTTTAGCTAGTTTTCAGTTGGTAATTCAGAGTGAATGTTCTCCAATACAGTTTTATTTCCAGTTTGGTTCCGGGAGGAGGCGCATGAAAGATGCACCTTCTCTGCCACCATCTTGAAACTCCCCTCCCGGCCTTCTCATTTGTGATTAAAACTACCAGTCCCCTTTATTATCTAGCTATTTGCCTTTCTTTTTATTTCTTATTTCTTTTTTCATAATTCCATTTTCCTTCTTGAGTATACCTCCTCCAATGTCCTTTCTTCCTGTTATATGTATATATCTTTCTTTTATCCTTTCTTACCATTTCTCTCTCTCCATTCTTTCTCGTTTTGCTTCTTCCCTCTGGAGCAGTGGTTCTCAACTGTGGGTCACGACCCCTTTGGGGGTTGAACGACCCTTTCACAGGGGTCGCCTAAGACATAACAGTAGCAAAATTATAGTTACAAAGTAACAACAAAAGTAATTTTATGGTTGGGGGTCACCACAACATGAGGAACTGTGTTAAAGGGTCGCAGCATTAAGGAGGTTGAGAACCACTGCTCTGCACATTCTTCATCAACTTATACAAACCCTCTGCAACTGATACAGTTTTTCTGTGACTTTCCTCTTCTCTTTCAGTTTGTTTTTTCTTAAAGCAATTCAGAAACAACCAACGTTAGAGCAAACTACTTTCAATTCTATGTTATCAAAGCCATATATATATTTCCAGATTAATTAGAATTCTCAATTCTTAAAAACCTTAATTTTTCATGACAATTAAATGCAAGTAATTACTATTCTTTAGATTGGCAAATTTATGAACATATTTCACAACTTTCAGAAACAGCCCCCTCTACCCCCCACCATTGGCAAATACACTTGCATCTTTAAGAGGCATAAGAGAGATAAAATGACCTTGAAAACTTTTATGAGGCTGGAAAAGAGGTGGGAGAGAAATATCATGTCCTGCAGCTTGTTAAAAGTACCATATTTCCCCCTTCACATGGTGATGGGACAGTCACTCCTGTTGTTTCCACAGCCTGAACAAGGTTTTGGGTGGTATTATTTTCCCCATTGTTCCCTGAACTGCATTAGCTCCTGGGCCTCCAGGAGGAGGATTTAAAGTGTTTAAAAGACTTATTACCTCACATTTTTCTTCTTGAGTTTTACTATCTGGTAGTGGAGTGAAATCTTTTCCCCCTATTTGAAACATTAATTTAGATCTTTCTGAGTATAAGTCTTATGATGTAACAACATGAAAGCTTGCACATAGCAGTCAGTTAAAATGTGACCCCATGGACTCAGTTCCAATGATGGAACGGAGGCTGAGCTGCCCATTTCAAACCAGAAACAAAAACAACATCTAAAGCAAAGAACAAAGTTCAGACAAATTAGTACTCTCAAACTAAATCCTTGTAATAATATCCCAAATTAAAAACACTATTATTAAGATACCCCATAAAATGTAGGCAACAAGAAAAGCAAATAATATCCCAAAATCTATATACCAAAACCAAAAGAGCACTCCAACCAAATCTCACACTGGGGAACTAGAATTTTTCTTAGTCACTGAGCCATGCCTACCACTGAGCAGTGTCTATTGATTTCTACAGAATCCTAGATGGTTCAAAGAACCCCAGATGGCGTGACAGGGCCCCCTGGTCATGCACACCTGAGACTTTACCCAGTTTACCTTGATCAGCTCACCAATAACATATTTCCTTCCCTAGCCAGGTGTAGAAGGCAACCAGCACTGAGAGAATAAAGGACAGTCCCCAAATAAAATCACTCGGGCCCTGGCCGGTTTGGCTCAGCAGTTGGAGTGTCGGCCTGCGGTACAGAGAGACCTGGGTTCGGTTCCCGCTAAGGGCACGTACCTCGGTTGCAGTTTGTCCCCGGCCCTGGTTGGTCGTGCGGGTGGCAGCCACTCGATGTGTCCCTTCACATTGATATTTCTCTCTCTCTCTCTTCCTCTCTCTCCCTCCTGCTCTATCTGCACAAAAAATGGAAAAATGTCCTCGGGTGAGGATAAAAAATAAAATAAAAAATAAAATCACTCGGCAGCTGCTAGGGACTCCCAAGTTCTCACATGGGGTTGGTCAGCCACAGGTGGCCTGGGGAACCCCCTCCAAAGTCTAGGGACTTACTGGGGCCTCCTGCTTGCTCCTGTCTGGCTCACCTGAACTGCAACTGCAACTTAGGTTCAGCCACTTGTCACCAAGAAAACCAAACTTGTGAGAAATGTGCTGATGAAAAAGAAAGAGGTTTATTTAGGTGCTAGCCACCTGAGAAAATGGTGGGATCTTGTCCAAAGTCCATTTCCACAACTTAGTGCAAGCAGAGGTTTTTATAAGAAGGGAAGGGAAAGCCAAACAAAGAAATCAAGGGGAGGGAGTTGAAAAGTTCTCTACATGTAGGCCAGCACAGTCCATTCAGATAAGGAGCTTGACCCTGATCAAGTGCTGGTCTGGTGTGTATCATCCTGGTCTTCATTATCTCGGTTCTGTGTCATCCTGCACTATGGTTGAAAGTCAGAAAGTCTCCTGGAACTGTGATGACCAAAAGTCGAAGCCTGTATCTTCTGAACTTAGTTCCTAGGATTCTTATACAAACATGTTGTTTAGCTACAAGCTACATATTAGTCAGAGCCAGCATTTATTTACAGGAACATTGGTGATGTGGATTATAATTCCCCACTGTTAAAATCCTAGAATGGGTTATGTGTTAAAAATGAAATAGCTTTATCATTTGGGGCACAAGTGGCTCTGCTATGGGACCCTGCCTCAAAAATTGTAACATGGGAAACAGAAAACCTTTTCCTACTAGCTGAAGAAACCACAGAAGCATCACAAGCCAGAACAAGTCAGCATCACGAATGGGGTGGCCAAAGGAGAGGACCGGAGACATGAGGGTGCTGGTGTGTGGACCTAGGCAAAGGGTTGATGTAGGAGATAGTCACAGAGATCTAGAAGGAAGCAGAGATGACAGCAACAGCAGTGGGGCAGGCAACTGACCCACAGCTACTGAAAATTAGAGTTTCCTGGGTTACAGCTACAATAGTGAATATCAGCAGCTCAGGGTTCTGAGCTGGTTACTAGAGCAACACACAGAGGAAATACCAGCTAAGAAAGTGGAGTGATGAGGGTAAGGAAGTTAAGGGAATCCATGCCACAAAAGGGAAGTGAAGGGCTCTCCAAGATCTAGAGCGGGAAGCAAAAGAGTGGCCCTTGCCAGGTGGAAACTCCCCCGGCCACTGTCCTCACAGGCTGCTGCCTCTGCCAACTCTCCACCTGCCCCACCCCTGCCCAGAAATGCCAAGAAGCTCCCAGCTTTTTTTCAGCATCTGGGTAGTAAAGTTGAAGGGAAGGATGAAGAGAAGTTGGTGCAGCAGGTCCTGGCTCCTGAAATCTGCAAATGGAGATTGCTTTTGCAATTATTGTACGTCATTGTGCAACTTGCTGGTCTTCTTAAAAACTCAAATTCCTGAATATCTATAAAATAAAGACATGGTTGATGGTGCTTAACTTACAGGGCTGCAGTGAGGTGCAGTTGAGGTCATGGACTGAGAGTGCTCTGTAAACTCTGAGGTGTGATATGTATGCACTGTTGAGAATATCAGTGGCAGGTTTCCAGAATCCGGGTGTGGGTGAGAGTGAATGAGTCAACAAGGAAGAAAATTGCCCCGTCTTAAGAAGTTCTCAGGAAACCAGGGCAAGGCAGCTCTGATTAAAGGGCAGCATAAATAGCCAGTGTGTGCCAAAGAAAAGCTAGTTTGCCTGGAGGTCTTGGAGTCCTAGAGGAAGCAACGGTGAGTGTGTCTGTCCTCGGCTTTCATTTAGTTTGATCTATGTCCAGTGAATATCCCCGTGCCCAGTCGGGTGGTCTGTTTTACTGGTGTTGAGGAAGAGAGGGTCCATGTAGCTGTTCTGGTCTAGGAGGTGTGGGTGTGGGCATGGGCATGAGAGGGTGGTAGAGTGAGAGAATAAAAACCCTCTTCTGCCCCTCACTCTGCTTCCTTTGCAGAGTGGGAGATTTGCTTTCTGGGTGGGAGTGGGTGGGTGAGTGGGGTGTGACACCCACGCAGACCCCACATGTCATTGTCTGGAAGCCTCAGGTGGAAATGCAACTCCGCCTTCTCCCTTGGCTCAACTCCATCCCTGCTTTCTTCAGAAAAGAAGGGTGGTAAAGGAGAAACAGACCAAGCATTCACAGGCCCAGGGTCTAAGCCTATCCTGGTACCAACTGCCTGTGGGACATGGATAAACATGCTTTTCTCTTAGCTTCAAATTTTTACTTAGAGCATTGGTCTGCAGTCCGGAGAGACCCAGGTTAGGTTCCCGCTAAGGGTGCGTACCTCGGTTTTAGTTTGTCCCCAGCCCTGGTTGGGTTGTGCGGGTGACAGCCACTCGATGTGTCCCTTTCATGTCGATATTTCTCTCTCTCTCTCTCCCTCCCACTCTATCTGAACAAAAAATGGAAAAATGTCCTTGGGTGAGGATTAAAAAAAAAAAAATACACTTACTGGACCAGGTCACTGATTTCCAACCAATTTTTATTTTATTTATTATTATTTTTTTTATCTTCACCCGAGGACATTTTTTGATATTTTGTTCAGATAGAGCGGGAGGGAGAAAGAGAGAGAGAAACATCGACGTGAAAGGGACACATCGAGTGGTCGCCACCTGCATGACCCAACCAGGGCCGGGGACAAATTGCAACAGAGGAACCTGCCCTTAGCAGGAACCGAACCTGGGTCTCTCTGGACCGCAGGCTGACGCTCTAACCACTGAGCCAAACTGGCAGGGCCCAACCAATTTTTAGACGAGTCAATAAAAAAAAAAAAGTAGTCTGAAATCTGGGCATAAATGGAACACTACGTAGGTCGACGGGGCTGTGGCCCTGCCCACTCCCTCTTTAGGCCCAGCCGAGAGGCCTCGTCCAAATCCCAGGCCTAAAACCCCGTGTTAGCTCCCTCCAAGGCCCCTTTCTGCTACAATGGGTGGTGGTGCCGTATGTGCCACCTTGAGCTGTTGGGCAGAATCCCTATTGCTTTCCATTCTTCCCCAGATTTGGGCCTGGGTCCTTCAGTGCCCATGGCTGAGCCTCTGCCACAGCACGTGCAGCAAGGTAGTCGCTGCTGGCTTGTGAGCTCACCTGGGTGTTTCTAGAGACTCCCAGGATGCCCGAGTAAGTGGTAAATTCAAAATGGAAAAAGGCTAGTGCTAAATAGGGTCCTGCACAGCCCAGAATCGCCAGCTGCTGGAGGAGAGAGCAGTCTTTCGGAACCACCTCCCCCGCACCACCTCGGGCTGCCTACTGCCCTGCTTCTCCTTCGCACGGTCCCTCAGGCTTTGTTCCCAGACTCTGCAAATCCTGTGAGCTCTTTCCCTGCTCATAACTTTACCGTTTCTCTCATAGAGGAAAAAAGCCCAACACTGGGGTGACCAGGTCCTGCCCCGTGATCTCACTTAGCTCTGAAGTCCCTCTGACATGGTAATTGGAGGCCCTATCGGATATCTGTCCTTTCCTACCTACTCTTCCTGACTGAGCCATCTCAGTGCCCCTCTTCCATGAGGCCCTTTCCCACGTTGTCTCGGTGGACTGCGCAGCACTCCAGGTCTCCAGGATCTCTCTAGTTATATATCGTATCCCTGAGGACTTTTGCCTGGGTTCCATCCGGCACTTTCTTCATGGAGACAGCGTCTAGTCCAGAAATGGCAAATCATCTGGCAGAAATGTAGCCATGTACCCATCTTATGCTTAGGACGAAGGTCCCCAAACATTGTGGCTTAGAGGCTCCGGACTCTGGCTTCTTTTTAGACCAGCACTGCAGAGCGCCCATGCTAGTCCATCCATGGCTACAAGTGACCAGAAACAGGTTTGCCTTTTTGGAGCTAAGCCAAGAACCTTAATGATACAGACAGGGAGAAGGAAGTTCAAACAGGAGAAATGTCCTGCCCAAAGGCACTTCATGAATCCTTCCTGATGTGACAGATGGCCTCAGTGAGGAATTCTGCATCCTAGCCACTGTGCCCATGACAGTGTGAAAGGAGTCACTAGAAGGACAAAACAGGGCACCTGACAAGAGGTAGATGATGCTGTTAACCCATGTCAAAGTTTCATCTGGATAACTCATGCCCTCCCAGGCCAGACTGTATGCCCACCTTGTCCTGAACTGCTTTCCCTGTCCTGCTGCTCCCGATCCCGCAGAAGGGGGAGGAGGTACGAGAAGTGCCTATCCGGACCTCCAGGAGCTGGGTCAAACACTGAGCCCTGTTCTAGAATCAAGAGCATGTCCTCTCTGTGCATTCGCCTAGGCCATGCTTCTCCTTCTCTCCATGCTGATCCTGTGCACACCGCCTCCGCAGTCCACGGGAACAGAAGTGAAGGCCTATGCCCAGAAAACAGTGACCAATGCCTGCACCCTGGTTATATGTACCCCTGTGGAGAATGGCCTGCCTGGTCGTGATGGACGAGATGGAAGAGAGGGTCCCCGGGGCGAGAAGGGAGATCCAGGTAGACCTGGGATCATGGGCTTGTCCTGGTGGGCAGGGGTAGGCATTGGGATTGTAACCAATTCAGCAACTCTGGGTAATCTGCTGTGGAAGCCTTGGAAATGGAAACTCACCTCCTTGGGAAGGATAAGTCCCCTAGATATTCAGTCCACAGTAACACCACTTTACCAGTTGGCAAATGACTGGCTGCCTTGAACCCCCAGGTGTCTCCCCAGCTAACCCAGCTGTCCTGATTCCTCCCCTAGGATCTCTGATCCCTCTCATTCCAAGAATGAGCAAATAGTGGGTAATGACTGGCATCTGGGGCCTTCTAGAACCGTGCTCCGGCACTTAGCAATTGTTCACTGTAGTTGAATGGCGCCTGTGCAGGGTGTTAAATGTCTCATCAATCCGCCGCATGAAGGTGGGAGACAGGCTTCGTGGCCCCTCACTCAGGCTGACCAAAAAACTTCGCCCTAAATGCAGGAGAAAAGGGAGCTCACATTTCTTTGTCCAGCCCTGTGCTTGGGTATCCACTTGTATCATTCATTTAATCCTCTTAGAAGGGACATAGTAACCTCATTTGACAGGTGGTGAAATTGTGACGCAGGGAGGCTAAATGACACCCAATATGGAAGGTGATAAGGTCGTGGGCTTCTGCATCAGACAGACCTGTGGTTAATTGATAGCTCCATCTCCATAGCAGGGACCCCTGGGACAAGCCACTCAGTGTCCCTGAGCCTCAGTGTGCTCATCTGTAAGTGGGAAGGATACCTACCACACAGTGACAAATAATTGAGCCAAGGCTTTATTTTTTGTTGAGTCTTAAGGATAAAATTGCATCTTTCTGTTGTACGGTGAGGTGAATTCTCCTGAACTTACCAAAGGTACTATTATTAAGAGTATCATCCAAGAAATACTGCCCCATAGGGAGTGTTGGGGTCTGATTGGCAAGAACTGGGCTGGGGTCATGGAGGGATCAACTGTGGCCTTTATCTTTGTGGAGTTTGCACTATGGTTGAAGGAGGAAGAAGATATTTAAACTGAAAATACTAGGTAACACTGCCAGGCTTTGGGGGGTGAGGGACAAGCATGTATCTGTCTATTCTTTACAGAGAGAGGTGGTTCCCAATGGGAAGGGGCTGGGCTTAAGAAGGCCACCTGGAAGTGGACTCAGAAGAAGGCTGGGATTCAGGTGCCAGCTCTCTTGGAGAATCCCAGCTCCAGCTCCCAGAGGTCCCTGAGTTGAATCCTGGGTTAGGGGGCCCTTTCCTACCATGGGCCTCTGAACCTGTGGCATGGGGAACGGTGAGATGTCCCTCTCTAATGTAGGTGCCCCGTGCACATTTCAAGCCTGGCCTTGGGTGGGTGCCAGGAGGGGGAACAGTGTGCAGTCTGACTGGGGGACCAGGCTCCACATTGGCTCCTTAGTTCCAGGCACTTCAGTCATTTAACCCTCATGGGTCTGAGAATTTCCTGGAAAGTTGGAGCAGCCTCAGAACCCTGACCTAGTCGGTGTGGGTGGGACTTGTGACAACTGCCATGAAGATCCTGAAGCAGGTGGTCCTAAGACGCTGCTGTAAAGACAGGATGGCCCTGAGATGGGGGAGGGTGAAGCTGGAGTCCCTGCGTGATGCCCAGACATATCATGGAGTGTCAGTAAGACCTGGACCCTGCTTCGGGGGTTGTTACAGGGATGATGCCCTTCACTCCCAGCATCTAGATTCTTGCCCTGATGGTTTCAGTGAGCATGCCCCCAGCAGTATGCACCTCCCACGGGGGAAAATACACAGCAGCCCACACCACCCTGCTCACTCCTCTGATCTCCTCCTCCCCCCGCCACCACAGTCCCTGGGCTCCGACCACACTCCTCGCTGGCCCGTCACCACCCTGGGCCCCGGCCCCCAGGGCCCGTCACTGCCGCGCGGGCACACTCCTCCCCCCACAGCCTCACTCACACACCTCGGCTAGTCCCTTCACTGACCACCCTGCTTAGGAGACAGCCCTGGCAACCCTCTGTGGGATTCATTTCCTCTGGGCTCTAGTTCTCATCCAGTAAATCATAGACTGTCCATTTTATTTTTATTATCAGTTTCCGTGCAGCTGAAGTTAAGCTCCAGGAGGAAGGGATCTGATTGTTTGTCTACCTCTTTCACGACTGTGTCCCTGCATTTAGGACAGAACACAGTCGAAGCTCAGTGAATACCTGTGGAATGAGTGGATGTGAGATGCAAGGAGAAGAGTTTTGGTCCAGTTAAGAGAGGCCACACTGCTGGGTCCGAAAGCTTCGCTTCAGGTGGCATGCTAGGTCTTGTGGGGATACTAGGATGGCTGGGTGGAGGCGGGGTTGGGGACCTCTATAATGCTGTCAGCAATAGAATAAATTAAAAACAAAACAAAAAACAAAATCAGTGCTTTAGGAGGCATGAGTTCCTGCTGCTGAGGGTGTCCCTTTCCCCACCTCAGCCCTCTCATGGCCTCTGTGAGTGAGCAGAAACCCCTGGCACTCCCTTCCCTTGGCCCATCTACCTGCTGCCATCTCGGCCGGCCCGCCCCGTGGAGCCCAAGAGAGCCTCAGCCCGGGTCACGGCATCTCTGTCCCTGCGCCGGGCATGGTGACTATGGAGGGCGGGGCCTGTCCTGGGTGCTCATTTCCCTCCTCGTGCGGACTGTAACTGAGAGCAGTGCACACGCTCAGAGGCCCCCCAGGCCTGGCCCCTCCTGCCCTGCGAGCACGGTTTCCACGTCTGAAATGACACCCCTCCTCTACACAGCTACCTAACTCCTCCTCAGCCTCCAAGTCCCATGTCCTCCAGAGCTTTGAGCATGTGTTCGTGTGCTGCGGTCGTTGTCTTCATGCTCATTCCCCGCCGCGCAGTTTAGCATTCTGCCACGAACCCTGCAGAGCAGGGCCTGGTGTGTACGTCTGCATTTCGCCCAATGCTAAGCATTAACTTATGTTCCTTAGATGGTTTCTTATTGAACAAATACATTTTGTAAATAAGTTTGGGTTTTCTGTTTTGTATTTTAGAATCCACATATAAGTGAGATGATACTGTATTTGTTTTCTTTGCTTGATTTATGTCACTTAGCATAATGCCCTCAAGATTTATTCATGTTGTTACAATTAACAGGAATGTTTTTATGGCTGAATAATACTCCTGTGTGTGTGTGTGTGTCTGTGTGTATCACATATTTATCCATTCATCCATCATGGACATTTAAGTTGTTTCCATCTCTTGGCTACCATAGACAATGCTGCAATGAACATGAAGGTACAGATATCTTTTTGAATTAGTATTTCATTTCCTTTGGATAAATACCGAGAAGTGGTATTGCTGGATCATATTTTTATTTATTAGTTCTATATTTAATTTTTTGAGGAAACTCCATACTGGTCTCTACCAATTTGCAACCCCACCAACAGCACACAAAGTTTGCTTTTTCTCCACATCCTCATCAACACTGTGATCTTTTGTTTGTTTTTTATAATAGCCATTCTAGCAGGTGTGAAGTTATATCTTGTGTGTTTGAGTCGCATTTCCCTGGTGACTAGTGGCATTTCTGATATAGTTTTATTCTAGGAAGGGGAAAGTAAGGAGTCCGTGATCAAGGGTAAGTGCTGACAGATTGCCTGCTGCAAACACTGTGGCCTTGGGGTAGGGAAGGTGCACTGCATGGAAATCAGATAGGTCTTGGCTTGAATCCACCTCTAACTCTGGTGAGCCTGCTTCCTCCCCTGTGGCTGTGGATGTGCACACCCGTCTTCAGGGCCACCGCTGAACTGAGGAGTGAGAAGGCGGAATGTCTACACCCCTTAGAGTCTGAAGGGATGCCAGGGGCCTTACTGGGCAGGTGCTGGCTCCCCCAGACCTGCCTGGGTTTATGTCCATTCCTTCTGCTACTGCAGGGTTACCAGGACCCATAGGACGAATGGGGATGCCTGGACGAGTTGGCCCAGTTGGGCCCAGAGGGGACAATGGCTCTGCTGGAGAACCTGGACTAAAGGGAGACTCTGGACCACCTGGTGAGCAATTGGGCATGGAATGCAGTGTCTGCCAGTGGCGCCGCAGCCACTGGGCTATGCTGGTAGCATGCACATAGCCCATCCCAGGAAGAAGGCCCTGGGTCATTGCAGGGAAGGATGCAACCACTGCTGGGCTTCATCTGTAGGATGGTGCTGCTTCTCTGACTTTATGACTGCTCTCATCTTTTCATGCACTCCCACTTCCGAAAAGATGGAGTGCACTGACTGCGCTGCTCCTCCTCCCCAGGACCTCCGGGACTTCCAGGTGGGCCTGGTCCGGCTGGAAAAGAGGGCCCCCCGGGACTGCAGGGGAACATAGGACCTCAAGGAAGACCAGGCCCCAAAGGAGAGGCTGGGCCCAAAGGTAGGTGGTTGGCACGGGGGTGGTCTGGAGGGGAGTTGGGAGGAGGGGCAGTCTGTGACGTGCCCTAAGGCCTGCCCAGAGGGCCAGGGAAGCCTAGGCCGGCAGCCCTGGGCAGGTCCTGCTGTGCCCCGTCCCTCCAGCCCACACTGCCAGTCCTTTCCTGTTAGTTCCCTGGAGCAGCCCAGGTGGTGGGGAGCAGTCTCCCCAAGGAGCTGCGGGCGAGAAACTCCACTTGAGGAGATACCAGAGGCTGCACCCTCTCGGCAGCGCCCGTCCCATCTGTTCCTCCCTCAGGAGAAATGGGCCCCCCCGGCTTGCAGGGCTCTGCGGGGACAAGAGGCCTCACAGGTCCCAGAGGGGAGCGAGGTGCCCCTGGTGAGCCTGGAGCCCCCGGAAATGCGGGGGAAGCAGGTGAGTGATGGAGGAAGCTGGGCAGGCCTTCAGTTCTCCTTTGCCCCTGACACTGCTGCGTGCCCATCCCTGCACCCTCCCCCCATCAGGTCAGAGCTGCAACACGGGGCAGTGGGGAGGGCCTGTCCAGGAGGGCACATCGTTGGGCTTGAGGGACTCTCTGTAACTGGGCAGAGTGCAGTGTGAGCACCAGGGACAGTCTGAGCACAGGGAAGGTGGGAGGCGGGGTGATGGGGATGGTCAGTGTACAGGGAGGGCGTGTGGCTGGCTTTGGGACAGACTGTTTCTGGGAAGGGTGTATCACTGGACAATAGCACAGTCCGTATACTGGGAGGGTGAGAATGCTGGAAAATGTGTGCTGAGCTCACCCAACTCTTCTCTGATCTCAGGGCCTGCAGGAGCCATAGGCCCACAGGGACCTCCCGGTGCCAGGGGCCTCCCAGGACCGAAGGGGGACAGAGGTGCTCCTGGGGACCGAGGAGCAAAGGGAGAGAGTGGGCTTCCAGGTAAGGTGGCCTCCCCTAGCTCTGGGAGCCCCCACTGGGGTGGAGGGGAGGAGGGCTCGCTTTAGCTCAGGACAGCCCCTCTGCTCGGCGGTCTGCCTATTGCAGGGCTGGTGGAAGCAGGAAGGTCAGGCTCTGGTTTAGACTTGGTGGAGGGCGAGCCTGAGCAGTTTTTTCATGTGATTATTGGGATGAGCACAGCTCCCTTCCCGGTTCATTGGATGGCTGTGAGCATCGAATATTCCAAAGGACGGAAGTCCCTGAGGGATGGGCAAGTCTGCCCCGCTCCCCGGAGGGAAGTGCTATCAGATTCTGTGAATTTGGAGTGAAATGTCATCTGGGTCCATGTCAGTGTGGTGCAAAGACCTGCTCAGGGGCACTGTATTCACGGCAGAACCACAGGAAGTCCCGTAGGCAGCAGGGGCCAGCAGGGGCCAGCAGACTGGCTTCCAGGGCCAGTCCCAGCTCCTTACCCTGCCCCTCTGAGCGCTGCCTGGCTGTGCTCTGCGGTCTCCACTTGGCCTCTCTCTCATGCAGACATCGCGGCTCTGAGGCAGCAGGTGGAGGCCTTGCAGGGGCAGGTGCACCGACTTCAGGGAGCCCTCGCTCAGTACAGGAAAGGTGAGTTCCTGGACCTGAGCCACACGTGGAGGGGTGGCTGCAGACTGGGGCTGTTTTGGTTTGGAGTTGGCTGGGCCTGAGGCAAGCCTGGGGCTAGGATTGTGGTGGGCTGGGACAATACCTGGACCCGGGACTGGGGCAGGGAGTGGGGCTACCGACAGGGTTGGGACAAGGCAGTGCAGCCACGTGTCCCAGGAGTGGAGTACATGCGAGGCATAAGCAGCAGATGTGGTCCCTGTCACCACTGAGTGGGCGGGGGGAAGCATGGTCAAGGCCATCAGGCCTCAGAATGCCCCCAACATCGCATCTGTGACCCAAGCCAGTTCAATGTCCCGAGCCCAGTGCGGTTCAGCAGACCTTCTCTCTTGCTGACCTATACTGGTCCCTGTGACATCTGGGAAACCCAACCACCCGAGATGCATATCTTACTTCTGTGGGGCTGCATGGCTGAGCACCCCAAGATGTTGCTGCCAGCCCACAGCAGCAGACTCCAGACACTCCTGAGAGTGGGGGCTGGGATGCTGTCCTTGGGTTCAAGGCTGGTGAGGACCTGACCTTGGCACGTGGCCCTTTAGAATCTCGCCCAAGACATGCCTGGGTCTGACAGGGGCAGGCTACCTCTGGGTCTGGCCAGTGCTGGGCTCTCTCTGCATCTCCCTGGGTGTTAAAAGTAGATTCTTCCCTAGCCCTGGACTTCTGCGGAATCAGAGTCCTCCAGGAGTACCGCCCAGTGCCCTGTGCCTGTGGAAATCTCCACCCAGTCCCTAAGTACCCCCCACTGCTTTCCCTGTGTCAGCTTTGAATTCAAATCATCCAGCAAATCTCACTGATCCGAAGAAAAGAAGGGTTTCTGAAGGAGGAAAGCACACTGGATGGAGACATAGGATTGGCTCCTAGGTACCTAAGCCAACTAAGTACCTAAGTACCAAGGATGAGAGTTTCAAGCATTTCTTATGTCTCCCTCCCTCCAGAAACATATCTGCATATGTACTCACTACCTCTGTGCACACTGTGCACAGGAAAACTTGTGATATGCACCTGCCACATGTGTGTGTACTTACATACACACCATCACTCATTTCACATCATCTACATACACGAGCACACACACATATATTCATATTCACCCAGATGGACCTTTAGTGCTCCATGTACTGTCAGATGGGCACACAGCCACATTCACATGAGCATAAGCGAGTACCCACCCGGATGCATGTATTGGCATATGAACTTTGGTTCTGACCTGGTCCAGGGATGTGCTGGGTGCCCTCCTGAGCCTGTGGAGAGTCTGCCCCTTGGGCCCTTGTGGAAGGTACTCACAGGAGAAGGGCAATGGGTTGGGGTGCAGCCTGGGCTCCTAACCAGCTCTGTGAGGCCAGGACACAGCCCTGTTGGGAGCCCTGAAGATTTCTGTGCAGAAATCCAGAAGTCAGAGGGATGGAAAATGAAATGGAATAAAAAGAGAGAGTTGAATGGCACACAGTCATTCCAAGGTAGAGCCGAACACCTGGCCTTCAATGCCCAGACAGGACTCTGCCCAGCGCTGACTGTCTCTTTGCCCTAGACTCTCAAGCCCACCTCTCTGATGCCTTCGTCCCCTCACTCAGTCCTCCAGTATCACCCACATGCGCACCAGGAGGCCAGCACTGGGCTGCACATCACTGCTCTCAGATGGCCCGCCCGGTCCTCTCCTTCCACACACCCCGCATGCAGCGCAGACCCCCTCTGTCAATGCCACAGGTCCTGCTGCTATGCGGGTCCAGAGTGAGATCAGAGTGAGCACCCACATTGTTTCCATGGTCTCAGGGACTGCCCCCAGTGACCTGGGGCCATTTCCCTGGCCGAAACTGTCCTTCTGCCCAGTAATTAGAAACCGACGCTGGCTTTTCACACGGGGTAAATAGAAAGAGCGTATCTCAGCTTTAGTGTAAGACCAAATAAGTTTTAAGCACCAATACTACATTTGAAGGTCAGATGAAGTTGAGCCTCTTACGTAACCTCTCTGAGTTCTGTGTCCTCACCTGTAACTAGAGACCCAGAACCGCCTGGTAGAGCGCACTGCGGAGCTGGGGTGCCTGGGGCCCAGCGCCTCAGTTCACCCTGTCTGGTGCCGATGCCCTGTACGGGATGCCAGGGCCCTGGTTGGGCACAGAGTCTCAGAGCCATGGAGCTCTGGCTGGCGCTGCCAGAGCCGCAACCTGCCTGTCCTCTTCTCCTAGTGGAGCTCTTCCCCCACGGCCGAGGTATCGGGGAGAAGATCTTCAAGACAGGAGGCTTGGAGAGATCTTTTCAGGACGCACAGCGAGTCTGCGCACAGGCGGGGGGGACACTGCCGTCCCCGCGCTCCGCTGCTGAGAACGAGGCTTTGCGGCAGCTGGTCACAGCTGAGAACAAGCCCGCGTTCCTGAGCATCACCGACTCCCAGACGGAGGGCAAGTTCACCTACCCCTCGGGGGAGCCCCTGGTCTATTCCAACTGGGCCCCGGGGGAGCCCAACAATAACGGCGGGAATGAAGACTGTGTGGAGATCTTCACCAACGGCAAGTGGAATGACAGGTCCTGTGGAGAGAGTCTCCTCGTGATCTGCGAGTTCTGAGCCACCGAGATGGGCGGACAGTCGTGGCCCAGGAGACTGGTCAGCAAGTCGGGCCCAGACCCGTGTTCTGCCACATTCCTGGAGGGCTGACACCTCTGCTGGCCAGGGCTTGGCCACAGAGCGTGGGAGGAGGCCTGAGGCAGGGTTCCTGTGGACCCCTCTCCCAGAATAAAACACGAAACTGGTCTCGCACACCAGCAGACTGTCAGAGGAAGAAGGGACGAGCCTGCTTTCCTAGTTGCAAGGGGTAAAATTAGGTCTCAAAGATCTCTCTGTCACTATGTCCAGTGGCTCCTCCTCAGCCCTCCGTCTCCCTGAGCTGTCAGCCACATTGGACCCAGCCGGTCACTCCCTCCTCCGTCACTCCACCTCCTCTTGGCCTCCAAGACACCACTCTTCCTGGTCATGCTCTCTTGCTAGTCCCTCCTCCTCTTCTTGACCACTAATGGTGATGTGCTTGGGCCTCCACTCTCCGCTTCCTTCTCTCCTTGCCCTCACTCAGCAATGAGCCCATTCTGACCATGACTCAGATTCCTTCTACCGATGGCACCCGATGGCACCCTGCTCAGGACCTCTTCCTGTTCAAGACCTGAGTCCTGGCAGCTGCACAGCACAGCGGGACATCCCAGCAGGTCCCTGCCTCCCTGGCCAGGCTGCTGGCCGTATATCCAGTAGACGCCTCCTCATTCTTGCACACCCAGGACCTCTTTCTATCCATGTCAGAAAGACTGCCTCCCACCTCCTGGGAGGGAGTACCGTCCACACACCCTAGTTCCATCTGCATCTCAGGCACAGAGGCTGTGCAGTCATGCTCGGATTCATCCCAGCCCTCCTCCTGCCCCCCGTCCCAGGAGGTCCTTTCCCCATTCCACCTCACAGCCTGGGTAAATCCTCCTCCCCCTCCCACAGACGGGAAACCAAGACGCAGGGAGGAGATTGCACACAGCCACAGGTGCTGTTAGTGCTAGAGTTTGGTCATGTGCAAGGTCACCCGACCCTAAACTGTATACTTCTGGTCTGTAAATGCTTAGGTCAAAGGCCTCTGTATATTAGTGGATGTCAATGGCACTTGTGCTTAAGAAATTGGGACGACACCTGATGAACCACAGGCTCATAGGAAAGAGCAGCAAACCCCTCCCCCAGACAGGAAACCCACCATCTCCTTTGTTCTCAGACACGGGAAAGACTGCCCTTTCTGGCCCCTCCTGAATGGGCCCCCCTAAGTGGGACCTCACTTCCCAGAACTCCCGCAGCCACACCTCATATATAGGCAGCATGTTTGGGAACAAAAAGCCACATCAAGTAACTGTGTATGGTGTCAGGTGGCACGAGAGTTATCAGGATGATCACGTAGTACGTTGTATACTGTCTGATCACTGGGGTGTACACCTGGAACTAATATAATATTGTATGTCACCTACGGTTGACAAACAAAAAATGATTTAAATGAAGTGATTATTGACGGGTAAACAGAAAAAGAAAGAAAACAAAAAGCCACACCTCCCAACAGCACACAGTTCAGGCTCTCTGCTAAGATCTTTTTCCTGTTACTGGGGGAAGAAAACAGTTTCTGGCAGCTTCTGAAATATATCAGTTATGCAACAGTGAGCAAATAATCTTCAGTACAGAGGCCACCCCTGGACAAAGGCGGCAGGGAACTTCGAAAGGCTTTTTTTTCATTGCACATAAAAAAGACAAAACGACTGGAGGGAGGCAGTTTTTAAGAACAAAGTGTTCCTGAGTGGCCCAAGGACTGGAGTTGTGCAAGCCGCACTGTCCCCCCCTGCTGCTGCCTCCCTGTGCACCCCGCCTCTTCCCCTTCCCACCACCTCTGCTTCCGGTCTCTCGCTACCGGAGCACAGGGAATCGTGCCACACAGAGATCAGAAACTCTTGCTTGTTATCAAGTCAAAATTTCTATGGAAATAAATCTACCTGTCTCAGATGCCTACTTCTGGTCCCATAAACTAAACCTGGGCGTTGACCCACAGGACAGTATGGCCACTGGGACCCATGCCAGGTCATGTGGTCTGGGCAGACCCTCTAAAAGTGACTGCTACCCATCCCGGTACTTAAGCCAAACCTTTTTCTTGATAAGAATGAGGGAAAAATGGCAGAACTATGTGACTCAGTAGGAAGAAAGATAATCTCCTAAGTATTGAAGGCCAGGAGTGTTGAAACCCCAAGTCCTAGGAGAAGCTTTAGATCCACCTCAGCATGGGGTCTGATTTGCTCTCCAGCACAGAGAACAAGTAAGGAAGGTCATGTGGGCTCTGTAGACACAGCCTGACCAAAGCAGAGGACTAAGGCACGTATTTCAGAAATTCAGGTCTTAACCCATTCTTGAGCACAGAGACCTCTCCTGCACTGACATTCACGGGCAGAAGTCAACACAGATCTTAAACAGTATTAGCCCCACATCAACCATAGTAGCCATGGTGCCAAGTGAAGCCAGGACTGCATGACTCTTAACAACTCAGATGTTATGACCCTCACAATGCCAGGTGACATCATGGCAGCAGACTGGGTTCCTTCCATGTCTGGAGGTGACAACCAGAGCAGTTTCATAGGGAAGCCCCTGTTCAGTTTAATGGAATATTCTCAGATCACCTCCTGGTTCTCAACCCTCCTGCCATGCAACCAGCTCACATCCCATAATGAACTGACAGTGGGGAGTACTCTGGTGTTTCCTCTTTTTTAAGATTCTATCTTTGTTCTGAATTCCCTTGATATAAAACCCTGAGAACAGAGTTGGTTAAGTTCAGGGCATTCTCAATCTCTCTTATCTTCTGGATATCCTTAATTCAAGTTTAATGATGTGTTAACCTTTTCAAGTTACTGTGTTTTATATATTAGAGTCAAGAATCCAGGTATCTATTAGAAGGAACAAAAGATTAATTTCTAAGTCAAATATTTATCCAGGTACCTGGTCATACCCTCATAGATGCTACAGCCCTACATGTCCCTAACATTAGGGACAAGCTGTAGATTTGTGTTCCTGTACAGAATAGAGGTGCTCAACAAGTAGACTGGAAATGAGTGGTGATTATAAATCTTTTGACCAGAGGAACAGAGAAGAGCCATCTCTTTGTGCAATCACCAAGCTACTCAGAGACCAAGACATTCATTATTGTTCAACCCAACTGTGACTATTAGGCCTCCATATAGCTGGCAGCAGGTATCTTGTGGTAGTGTTTACTGGGTTTTTGGGTCACTATTTCAATAAGAGAGGTCTTATGAAGGCAGGTCTGTGACCTGTGTTGCTCTAGGTGATGAGGATGAGTGCACAGTTCCGGAATGCCCTCTCTGCCGCTGCCATGGTGATAGCAGAAGCATTGGTGGTATAATCCAGCATTCTGGAAGCCTGAGCAAATGCATAGTAAACAATTGTCCTTGAGGATTGCTTGGTTGGATCTACTTCGACCTTGAGTGAAATTTGGAGGTTGTTACTGCAGCATATGCAGCCCATCTTCCCTGCATAAATTTTGAATATTCACCTATTTGACTTTCATTTACATAAGCAATACAGTCTCTCAGACTGCCTGGCTCAAACATTTCTGAGCCAGAGAGGGACTCAGGAGGGCCCTTTCTACCTGAGCAAAATAGTACTTTTCATATTTTTTTAGTAAGTGGACAGCATGAATAAATAAAAGAGTTGAGTAAATGGATCCTCAATTCCTATTTGTATGTCTGCTTGTAGGGCTGAATAAATGTTTTCAAGATGTTTCCAGGCCCTTTGATCTGAGGAAGTAGCTCTGTGACCACACTGCCAGCCTCTGCACTTTTATTAATTCCTTGAATGCTTCATTTCACATGTAAGTGGCTGGGGTCAGGCCAGGGCCAAATGTCAGATGACAGCTTCAGGCCACGGAAATGCATTCTGAGTAGAGGGCTGGATCAGGGCAGGAAGGGGAGGGTACACCAGTGCTGGGGTTTGTGCAAGCCCGGGAGGCCTGGCCCTGTCTAGAGGGCCTGAGACTATAGGAAGAGGATGAGAGGGATGTGAATTCTCCAAAGACTCAGAAGAGCAAGGCTGACAAGACCTCATCAGGAGGTCTTATGAAAGAATGATCATCCCAGAACAGCCAGAAAATTTACTTTAAAAAACATAATGAGAATAGACTTGGTCATCTTATGTTAAAGGGTTTTATAAATCTGTCATAATTGTAATAGTGTGTTACTGACACAGGAATAGATAGAACAGTATAAAAACCACCAAAAACAGGCCCAAGTATGTATACACATCATATATGCATGATAAAAATAGATTACTAAGACTATAGAAAAAAATGAATAGTTCAATTAATAATTCTTAATTAAATGTTTAAGCATTTAGAGAAAAATAAAAGCAAGTTCCTTTAGTTACATATAAAATTCAAATCAGAAGAAAATATAAGTAGTGATTTATGTAGTCCTGGAGAGGAGAGGCGCTCTCTAGGTATGATATCAGAGAAGAAAACCCAGAACAATTGTCTTGATACATCTGACTATACACACACTAAAATATAAAACTTCTCTGCCAAAAAGTAAAACAACATAAGATAAAATTAAAATGCTCAATTATTTTCAAGGCACATAACAGATAAATCAATAATAAATGATGAATATCAAAGTAGGAAAGAGAAGAGAAATATCTAAGAATGAGAAGAGGAAATTCATAAAATAAGAAATACTGATGGCAAATAGTAATGAAACATGAAAAATGTACAATCTTAATAGTGATTAAAGAAACTCAAATTAAACAGCAATAAGTATCCAAAAACTTATGGACTAGAATTAAAGCTATACTCAGAGAAAAATATACTTTACTTTCATTATTAAAGAGGAAAAAGGTAGAAGCATGGACATTGAGCGTGGTGTTAAGTCGTCTCGGATGCATCCATCCATCCTCCAGCTCAGATCCAGTGGGTGCTTCCGCCTCTGGACACCTCTGGACACCTCTGGAAAGGTCCCTTTCATGTAGTGAATCCAAAATGCACACCACATTTTCTGGCCTCAGACTTTGGAGTGCTTGGGAACCAGTCCTCATCAGTGTAAGGGGAGATGATCACCTAGGAACTGCAGACAGAGAACGAGAAAGGGTTAGCCCAGAGGGTCAAGTTTGCTCTCCAGAGGATGCTCTTGCTGGATAAAGGGTCCCACTTGCAACTCTCCTACGGAGTCATCGGTGATGCACAAGGCAGGGTTGAATAATGAGTTCTTTCCCACACACCATCTCAGATCCACTGGTAATAACTGCAGGGTTAAAAGCTTCCAGGGTCTCATCCAGGCTGAGCGGGAGGTAGGTAGGTAGCCTGGTTTGCCTCTGACATGGGGAGTGGGAGTCGGGGTGGACTGCTCTGCAGGACCTGAGGGCATCTAGGCAGGGGATCTCCTGGGCTTCATCAGTGAGGCAGGTGAAGGCCCTTCTTCAAGAATCCTGGTGCTTCCATCAGCTGGGCTTCCAGGAAGCTCAAGGTCAGAGTTATAACAAGACTGACAGTTGGAAAGACAACAATGTAATCTCCATTTGACACCTGCAGGAGATCCTCACCATCTCTCTGTGGACCAAGCCCTCTCCTGATGTCCTCATGGGTCCCAGGGCAGTCTCACAAGTTTCCTTAGTTACAGGTCCTCAGCCTAAACTCCTCTGCACCACAAAGATCACAAGCAAACACTTAGCAGTGTTCTGAAATAGAACCTGGTTGAGAGAAAAGTCCACAATCTTTCCCAGCTGATGCTGAAGGGCAGGGGAGGAGGGAAGTCTAGAGCTTGATTCTGCTTGAACATCACAGAGATACCCCCAAAGATCACAGAGGTAGCTCAGCAAGATGCTCACACATCCAGCCTCCACAGGGCTATTCCTGTTCTAGCAGGGATTCTGAAATCAGCCTAGACACAGAGATCTGAGGTGGGCAGACAAGAAGGAGGGTGGGGGTGGACATGGGCCCTGCCCTGAAGAGTTCACAGTGAAGGTGTGGAAATGAGATAGACACACAGAGAATTCCACCAGTACCCGGGCTTGCTGGACAGCAAAGGCTGGCTGGTCACCCCGTGGGAGAGTGTCTGGATCTGGCCCTGAAGGGTAGGGGTATTGGAAAGGCATTCTAAGTGGGTGTAGCAACCAGGGCAGAAGGGAGAAAGCAGGAACATCAGAAGTTGCAGACAAGAGACTCATGGGACCCCACCACTCACCTGGCCCCCGACGTGACTCTCTCTGTTTGCTAACCCTATCTCAGAGACACCAGCAGAGGGCAGCATGAGGCCACAGCTCCTGCTGCCCAAATAAACCCAATTACCCAAGAAAGATGGCTGTGCCCAGAGCCACATTGCAAAAGAAGTCTGGCAGCTTCTGTTTTCGATCCAGCTTGGAACTGAGTCAAGCTCCAGAGAAGGTTTTGGGTCACATGTTTTGGAGGAGGACTGCAATATATTCATTTATTTGTTTATTCATCGAACAGTTATTAAAAGTACTGTGGTCCCCAGGCCTGTCACAGACCCTGGGACTTCCTACTATGGCACACGTTGTTGTAGTAACCAAAGCGACAAGAACAAATGCTTGAACAGCATTTGCTGGGGGCCAGTGCTCTCCTGGCCGCCTTACTGCATGTATCCCTCACACCACCAGTGAGGTGGGCGTTATTTGTACCCCAATTTTACCAAAGAGGGAACTAAAGCACAGAGCATATGTGACTTGCTCAGGGTCCCACAGCTGCAAAGGGGTGGAGCCAGGGTTTGACCCAGGTGGTCCGGCCCCAGAGTCCTTCATGACTGCTGCACTGAAAGGACCCAGACCAGGAACCGCTCAAGATGATTTCAGATGTTTACAATCGCTAATAAGAAAATAAAACCGGGTGTTGCAGTCGTGACTGGGTGGGAGTAACAACCTTAGCTTCAGTGGTCAGATAAAGACTTTGGAGGGGAGGACAATGGTGACAATAAGGACCAAGACCTGGCAGGAGGGGGATCATGTTATCACCCACACAATCTCTGTTGAGCCCAAGGGGTCCCAGGGTACAGCTCAGGGCCGCTTGTGCACCCTTTTGACCAAGCACTCACATACGTCACCCAGAGCCCCGACACCACCCCAAGCCAATGCTCCTCAGTGAGGGGTGTGCAGAGAAAGGCTTGGGGGAAGGCAGGGCTGAGACCCCCCACTAGCAGGACACTAGGAATTCCAAGCACTGGGACTGCTGGTTTCTATATAGAAGTTCACACACTCACACGCACGAGGACCCCCACAGCGATGCGTACACAGTTCCCCTCAGTGTGTCACCTGCCCGTGCCTCATCTGATGCTTCCCGGCGCTGCTCTAGGCCCAGACCTCCTGCCTGAAGTCAGACCCTAGAACTGCAGAGGGAAGAATTCGGGTCAGCAGTTGCTGTGTCCTAGTGGGGCACTGAGGCCTGACATTACAGAGTTAAAGGCCTACAAAGATGGAGAAGCCCTGGCCTCCTCGCTCCAGGGCCTCCCTGTGACGGAGAGATGCAGGCAGAAAGGAGCTATTGTGTTTGTGCTTTTTTGATCAGTGGTTTCCAAAACTGGCCAAACTTCTGGATCACCGAGGGGCCTCACAAAGGTGAAGATTTCTGAGTTTTGATGCACTGGGTCCAGAGTAGAACCAACTTGACCCTATGATTGTGCCAAGCCTTCCAGGCCATTCTGCTGGCCACTGCTCTGCAGAGCCGCATGCGATGACACAAGTACTCTGCTTGCCAGGACAGGGCAGGCTGGACCTTGGGCTGGCCATGCCAGCTCTCCCCAAGCATTTGTTTAGCTAATAAATGGCTACTTGCATCCTGCTTCTTCGGAGCATGACACTTGTGTTTCCTGGAAAAAAGACTGGTCCCTGGCTGAAGATACTGTCTCCTCTGGACACAGGTTGCAGCCAGGGTTAGGAGCACTCCTTCCCAGATGGACCCCTGCCCTGAGCTCCTCCTCTCTTCTCAGCTCTCCCTCAACCACTCAGAATTACTAAGACAACATCACTTTGCAAAGTCTGCTTCCCAACATCCCCATGATGCCATTCAGCCTCTTCCTGGTTAATGGGGAAAATCCCTGATTCCTGGCAGGTTCTAAAGCAAAGCTCAGTTGCACAATCGTGAGCAAACAAACCTTCCAGGTCAGAGGCTCTCTGCCATGTACAAATACATAGTCCAGTGCCTGGCCGTGACCCCTGTGCTGTGGGTCTCTGACAGGTGTGGACATTCTAACATTGATACAGGATATTGCCGTGAACTAAGACAATGTGCATGTGGTGGGTAGGGCTGTGCAGAGAAGTCGAGGGCAGGAGAGCTTAGCATCAAGTAGCAGCAACACTTGGACAAATAGGGGTTGGATCTCTCGGAGGCTGAGATCTGCTGCTGACTCTGACACCAATGTGGCCCTCCACTGGTCCCTTTGGGGGCTGCAGTGTCCTCGCTGAAAAAGGAGAGGGCTAGACTGGGCCCTTGCCATGGCTGACTGCGACCCAGTGCTATGCTCTTAGGCAGGACAGAGGGTGTCCTTTGCCAAGAACTGGACCAGAAACCCCTCATGTCTCACTGTCAGCCTCTTTTCACTTCCTTGTCCCACAATCAAACACATCCCTTCATTTTCCTCTGTCCCCACGAAGGCACGAGTCAACAATGAGCGTGAGATAACCGGCACTGAACCAATTCTCTTTTAGAGCAGCAGAGAGCTCAGCAGGGAGCCAAGAAGGGGGTGAGGAACCAGCCTCTTCAGGCTGGGAATTCACACACGGCCAGGGAGGGGGAAGAGCAGGGCATGTCATTCCAGAGCCCGTCCTTCTGAAGGCGCACACAGTCCTCCCCTGAGCCAAAGTCATTAGGCTCATCCTTCTTCCAGTTGCTGTAGGTCAGCCTCCCTCCTGTCACATACACAAACTGGCCTTCAGTCACTTCATCTGTGATGCCCAGGAAGGCATCTCCATTGGACATGTCCTGGATGGCTTTGTTCTCCTCCGCATTCTTGGGCGTGGCCACGGTGGCCCGGAGCTCAGCGCATAGAGCCTTCACTTTGGAAAATGGCATCTTTTCACCATTGGTCACATAGAGCTTCTTTCCGGATTTTTTGCCCAAGGAGAAGGCTTGCACTGAAATCACAAAGGGTGGGTGGGGTTGACTTGGCCTGGAGCCCAGCCTGTGATAAAGTCCTCGTCCGGGAACTCAGGACTCTGCAGGAGCCCATGCTCAGCCTCCTCAGGGCAAACCCTACTGAGGAAGAGCTCCTCAGTCACAGAGCAAGGCCCTGGCAGGAAGCCTGCCTCTCCCGGGACAGCCTACGCTGGAGACAGTCATCTGTTACAAACTGTCCCCATGCTGGAGGCCGTGGGGAAACAGGCGTGGGCCCCACCGACGGGCTTGGAGGCCAGGACAAGAAAGAGGTATGGACAGCCCTCTGAGAACAGGGGATGCTGGGAAGGAGCAAAGATTCTGGTCAGCATCCTCCATGCAGTCTTTCCCTGGCTACTTCCCACCTTGTGATGTCGAATGGATTATCTACCATTCCCAGACCCGTCTTCTCTCACCAGCAAATAGAATAGGTGTGATACTCACAGAGGTGGTGAGAGGGTCGATTGAAACCATGTTATGAGAACGTGCCAACCCAGCACAGGCCCTGGTACATACTGAGTGTTCACAGTGTTAGCTCCCTTCCCCCTCCTGACAACCTAGAACGCTCTGTGGAAGGGGGGAGAGCCAGGGACACCGTGGGGGCGGCAAGGCTTACGTTTTTTGGTGTGGTCCAGTTCAGACTTCAGGCTCCTTATCTCCCTCTCTAAGCTAGCCAGCTTCGTCTCAGCAACTGCAAAGCCACAGGGAGAAGAGTATTTATTGAGGAAAAAGACCCTAAATTGTAAAGCAGAGTGTTTTTTTTTTTTTTAAACTTAGTGAGAAGTATGTTTATTTCAGAAAAAATAAGAAAACAAAAAGAAGTGAAAGAAAAATAAACTGTATTCCTGCCTTCTCAGATATAATTCATAACTCTTGTAAACTGTAACTCTGCAACTAATAATAATGATGATAACAACTGTAACTTATAAACTATAGCTCTTAATTCTTTTCTTCACATACTGCTTAAATATTGCAATACTATCATTATTTACAAGAAAAGAACTAAATCATTCTTTTTAATTTTTTTATCCTCACCCAAGTATATTTTTCCATTGATTTTTACATAGAGTGGAAGGGAGGGAGGGAGAAAGAGAGAAACGTTGATGTGAGAGAGACAGATCGATTGATTGCCTGTGGCACAGCCCTGACTGGGGCCAGGGATCGAATCTGCAACCCAGGTACATGCCCTGGACCAGAAATCGACCCTTTGGTCCGCTGACCAACACTCCAACCACTGAGCCAAACAGGCCAGGGCTCAATCTCCTTTTTGAAAAATGTTCTAAATCATTCTTTCATTTTTTATTCCAGGCTAACTCTTTAATATTTTTATTACTGTGATGGGCCAGTGGACAAATATTTATATGAAGTCATCATGTTTCTTTTACTACTTCATTTCACTCTGAATTCATTTAATTACTTTCCTGCGCCAGGGGTTTTGTGAAGCAGACCATTTCCAGGACACACTTGTGCTAACAGACTTACACTAAACACCTGCGAGGAGCCCCTTCCTCCCGTATCTCTGAGCCTCGCAGTGGGCTGGCTGCTCCAGCTGAGGGGGCGCTGGGGCCTGTCTCCCGCAGGGCCTGCTGGGGGTGGTCGGCAAGGCTGCAGTCTGCCTCAGGCCCCGTGGGACCCCTTCGGACCCAAGGGAGACTGGTAGGCATGAGCGTGCTGGGGCAGGACGCGAGGTGAGCACCTGCCCGAGGGGGCCGGGGGGTCCCCTCCCTCTAGGCCCGCGTCCCACACCATGCTGGGACGAGCTGCTTACCTGAACTGTCTCCACGATCTCCTTTTTGGCCCTTTACTCCTTGCAGTCCAGGAGTCCCTATATTTCCTGGAGGCCCCATTTTCCCCGGAGGGCCCTGTAAGCCTCTGAGCCCTTGCCCTGTTGGAAGACAGAGGAAATGTGACCCAGTGGCTGTCCTTCATTCTCTTCCTCCAAGAACTCTACACTAGATTCACACTGGCTCCAGAAACCACCAGTAAACGAGCGGTGGCCCGAAAAAGAAAGACCTCCTTCATCCCAGGGCCAGCTTCCCAGGCAGGCAGGGCACCCCTCTTAACGGCCAACCACACATTATCAATTCTTGCATGGAAATGTGGGGTCCAGGAGAACCAGAGACACATCCTTTTTAGGAGAGAATGACACTGTCCCAGACTTATTCTCTTCTGAGTGACCATCACCCACCACAGTGAAGGACGAGCCTGCGCACGGCTCTGTGTTAGACCCCTCAGAGGGAACCGTCTGCTCCCGGGAGAAAAGGCTGAGGAGTCAGATAAGCCTTCCGTACCTGGTTCTCCCTTTTCTCCCTTGGGTCCGTCTCGCCCATCTCGGCCTGGGGTGCCGTTGGTGACGGGGACGCCACAGGCAATCACTGAGCAGGTCTTCTCGGCACCCTCACAGGTTTTCGTTTCTGAGCGGGACACTGTGACCACACACAGGAGGACAGGAAGTGATACAAACCGGAACATGGTCCTTACCTGGTTGGTAGTGGAAAAGTTGAGGGAAATCATTTTGTGTCATCTTGTTTACTCAGTATTCGGTGCCACCTCTGGTGTGTTGGACCGGGGACAGCAGACACTCACCCTGACTCTGAGTTACTCTCAGGCTACTAAGGAGACAGACAAGGCTCATGTCTTGGAAGGACCTGGTTTATGACATCCATTCTCTCCTTTCACATAGAAATCCCTATTTTACACTTTGGGGCCCCACCTACTCTCAGAACCACAGCTGTTTTCCCAAGAGCCTGTCAGTCATTTTGTCTAAAGTCTCTATGACAGGCCCGCGCTGGGTGCTCAGGACCCAAAGTACCCTGAGGCAGGGCTTTGACCCTCAGAAAGATCCTGTGATCATTGATCCGGGCCACATAAGACTTAGATTTGCTTTTTTCCCTTGATTACAATTTTCTTTTGCCAGGCCATTTTTTATTTTTTACTTTTGCCAACCGGAACTCGGGCTCCTTGACTTTTTGTTTACACTGGGTGTGGCTGAATTAGCTTCTCGGAAGATTCTCTGCTGCTGCCCCGGCCTCCCCCGCCCTGAGGGGCCCCACCGGCCAAATCTGAGTATCTAAATAAATAATAATAGAAATGGTTTACAACATATTAAATAAAAAAGAATTCTTAAGTTCATACTGATACCTCCGATATTAACCAAATAAAGAAATAGAAACAGGAGGGGAGGAGAAAGGAAAGCTCTCTCTGACGAGCTGCCCAGAGCCCCCAGCTCTGTACCCGCCCTGCTGTCAGATCCCCTGAGCCTTGGCTCAGGCGGGTCCTGTTCCAGGAAGCCTTGGCCGCCCGCGGCCTCTCCCTGCTCCGCCCTGACTGCTGATCGCAGTGTTGCTGACCTTTATTGCGCAACTACTCATCTGCCCTTGCCGGCCCTGTCAGCATCCTGAGCCCTCCCTTCCTCCAGGACTCAGCGAGGAGTGAGTTGTCCCCTTCTTCTCCACCTTTCCTTTTTCTACCTTCTCCCCTCACCCACCCCAGCCCTTCCCTGATTATGCTGGAAGTCAAGGTTAGGCTGAAACATACCCTACTTCCACTCTTCCCTTTGACTGAAAAGATCACCCTTCAGTTTGCAGATGGTCAACTGGATCCAAGAAGAACATAAATGCCCCAGGTCAGAGAGACCAAGGCCCTGAGTGGGCCTGGCAACCCCATCAAAGCCCCTTCCTGGACCTCACCAGGATTAAGTCAAGTGGCCAGACTCTCTTGGCCCAGGGCTCCACCTCTGTCCTCCAGAATGACTTACTAGGGCCTCCTCAGAGCACGAAGGCTGTGGCCGGGAAGCTGTCCTCCAGCTCAGGCCTCTGGCAGATGCCTCAGCAACATCAGGGCCCAATTAGCCTGGTGACCAGGGACTGGCCATCACCCCAGGTTAATAAACAACCATCCTTAGAACTGCTGTATGCTGGGTGGTTCTCCGGCGCTGCTGGTGGGCTCTTCAGCATGGCACTGGGCAGCTCTCTACTTTAATATCCTAAACTCCTTCTGCTGCCCCTTCCCATGTATCCATTGCTCTGGCTTGTTAACTGATCCTCTAGGATCACAGATTCTCTGGATATTTTCCTACAGATATTTTTTACAGGACAGACATGCGTAGACATTCTACCAAACATACACACGTTCACATGTGCACTCACTTGCACGTGTATGTGCGTGCACACACACACATGCAGAGGCACATACCTCTGTATCTGTTGTTCTAACTAGTTCACCCCTCCTTTGGTGTTTAGTCTACTGACAACACTGACTCTCCTCACTCCAACCTTCTTATTCAGAACATTTAACGGATGTTTTCCTTGGGCATGTCACAGGACTAGGTACAAGAAGTATTTGTAGGTAAGTTACATTCTAAGCTGAATGTGACATTTGCATTAGCTGTTCCTGCCCAGGACACTTCCCTCTATCTTTGCAGAATTGTTTGCTGTCATTTAGATTTCAGATTAAATATTATCTCTGGAGAAATGACTTTCCCTAATCATTTAACCTTAACTAGGTACTCGATCAAAATTGTAATTCTCTGTCTTAATTCTCTGCCTATATTTAATCTCTGTGTAAAATAATCTTCTTTATTTAATTGCATATTCATTGACCATCCAATTTTTTTAGAACAGAAACAGAAGTCTTGTTCTTAAGCTGTTGTATCCCTAGAAGAGTGCCTGGAAACAGAGGCAATGCTCAACAGACATTAATGGAACAAACAAATCCTCCAGCATCATGTTCTCGAAGCAACCCTCTTGATTTCTCTACAGCTAGAGTGAAATCTGGGACTACTTTTTCAGTGTTCTTACTTTTTTAGGGAAGGAGCTCTATTTGATTCACTGCTTTGTCTCCAGGGTGCAATTCAAGGCTGGATACACAGAAGGACCCTGGAGACAGTGAGGAGAGAAGCAGAGGCCACAAGCAGGGCAGCCATCAGACAGCCTATGCCTCCTTCATGCCTGGGTTTCCAAGGTTGTCCAGTTCTTTTCTCCAAAGCTTGATCAAGTGGCCCTTTTCAAGTCCCTGACATGAGCTTTGATTCCTGCCCTCTCCCAAACTTACACTCACTCTTTGAAACACTTAGTCTTATCAACCGACTTAAAAGGTTTGCTTTTTCCCTGGTGGGGAGCTGGAACTGGGCCACTTTTCCTTGACCTTGCTTTGTGATTGGTGTTTTGACTTCTTAAAAGTCATCAGTCCTGTGTATTCAAGTCCTCAGGCCCTGTTCAGCAGCTCTCGTGGGTTCCTGTTGTAAAGGAGCCTGCCAGGCACTAAGATGGGCCCTTTTTAAAGAAGACCATTCTCAGGGTTGTGTTTCCTGATGCCATTGACACAACTTTGAAGGGCCAATAGGCTCAGAGGACAAGGAAAATTCAACACATACAGCAAATTAACAGACTTCTCAGAGAGGTGGAAAATTGAAACGTATAGGATTCCAAAATGGCGGCGAAGAGAATGAAAGCTACACAGACCGTCTCCCAGGACCAAACCTGAATAGCACATACCTTGTTCATGAATTGGAAGAATTAACATCATTAAAATGTCCATATTACCCAAAGCAATCTATTGATTCAATGCAGTCCCCATCAAATACCACCGACATATTTCACAGAACTAGAACAAATACTTCAAAAGTTCATATGGAACCAAAAAAGACCCTGAATAGCTACAGCAATCTTGAAAAAGAAAAACAAAGTAGGTGGGATCACAATATCAGACATCAGGTTATACTACAAAGCCACTGTAATCAAAACAGCCTGGTACTGGCACAAGAACAGGCATATATACCAGTGGAACAAAACAGAGAACCCAGAAATGGACCCAAGGCAATATGCTCAATTAATATTTGACAAAGGAGGCAAGAGCATACAGTGGAGTAAAGACAGCCTTTTTAATAAATGGTGTTGGGAAAATTGGACAGCTACATGCAAAAAAATGAAACTAGACCATCAACTTACACCATACACAAGAATAAACTCAAAATGGATAAAAGACTTAAATGTGACCCATGAATCCATAAAAATTCTAGAAGAAAATGTAGGCAACAAAATTGCAGACATCTTACGCAGCAGAGTTTTCACTGATACATCACCTAAGGCAACAGAAATAAAGGAGAAAATGAACACATGGGACTACATCAAACTCAAAAGCTTCTGCACAGCAAAAGAAACAGCTGTCAAAATGGAAAGGCAACTCACTGTATGGGAGAACATCATTGCTAATGATACATCAGATAAGGGGTTAATTTCCAAAATGTTTAGAGTACTCATACAACTCAACAAAAGGAAAACAAAGAACCCAATTTAAAAATGGGCAGAGGAGTTGAGTGGACACCTCTTCAAATAGGACATACAAATGACTAAGAGACATATGAAGAAATGCTCAACATTACTGATCATCAGAGAGATGCAAATTAAAACAACAATGAGGTATCACCTCACATCTGTCAGAATGGCCACCATCAACGAATCATCAAACAACAAGTGTTGGCGAGGGTGTGGAGAAAAGGGGACTCTAGTACACTGCTGGTGGGAATGCAGACTGGTGCAGCCACTATGGAAAACAATATGGTGTTACCTCAAAAAATTAAAAATTGAACTTCCATTTGACCCAGTGATCCCACTTCTAGGAATATACCCTACGAAGCCTGAAACACCAATCAGAAAGAATATATGTACCCCCATGTTCACAGCAGCACTATTTACAATAGCTAAGATCTGGAAACAGCCCAAGTGTCCATCAGTAGACAAATGGATAAAAAATCAGTGGTACATATACACCATGGGGTACTATGCAGCTGTAAAAAAGAAAGATCTCTTATGCTTTGAGACGACATGGAGCGACCTGGAAAGTATTATCCTAAGTGAAACAAGCCAAGCAGAAAAAGACAAATTTCACATGATCTCACTTATTTGTGGAATATGATGAACATAACAGTCTGAGGAATAGGTAGACCCAGAAACATGGAAGTAGGGTACAGACTGACAACACTCAGAAGAGGCAGTGGTGGGGGAGGAAAGAGATAAACCACAGAACTTATATGCATGTACGCATAAACAATGGACATGGACAACAAAGCTGGGGATGGGGTGGGGGGATGGGGAGGAGGGTGTCAATGGGGTAAAAAAGGAGAAACATCTGTAACAAAAATAAAAATTAAAAAATAAATAAATTAAAAGAAGAGAAAATTGAAACGTACATAAAACCAGGACCCTATATGTGCTATAGACTTAGAGGAAGGGGAGCTTGGGACAGAAGGGAGAGGATACACAGGAAGAGGGAGGAATGTGCACTGTCAGCAAAGGGATAATAAGAAAGAAAGCCTTGACTCTGGGGGGAAAAGATCCTCCCTGAGCATTCATATTCACAAGTCTGTCTTCTCATAGATCTGTGGTTTGAATGTATGCTATTATTGTTATTTGCTATGATTATTATTTTTTATTTACTTATTTTAATTTTCTTCTTTATTGATTTTATTTATT